GTCTGCAATTTAGCAATATTTGTGAGGCGTGATTAACATGGGGCTATTAATTTAAAAAGAAACACAGAGAGGCCAGGGCAGGCCATGCAATAACCTTACTGTAGGGAGTCAATTCACGTTGCTGCTTTGGCACCATGAGGTGTTTCTGCACCAGTTCTGCATGGCTGCAACCTCATCCAGCATCTATGAAAACGATATCTGCAGCTCTCCTGTGTTCCACAGCAGAACTCACCTTACTTAAAGCAAGATCCTTTGTCACAAGCCAAGAGAGTCTTAAGCAGTTGTTCTGGAGGCTCAGCATTCACAAGATATTAAACTCAAATGCTGCTCAGTATGTACTGGGGGCCAAAAATCACACTGTTGCAGAACAAGCATCACTGAGGCCAGTGACACGGAGTTTAATACAGAGACAGAAGCTTGCATCATTTCTCTAGGGTTTTGTTACCAAGGAACAGAAAAATCATGTATGCTTATATTGCCTTGCATGCCTGTGCAGATTTTCACGTAAGAGTTAAAAAATGTTTTGCAAGCAATGAATTGTGCTTCCTAGAGGAGGATGGTACCATTTTACAGACTGGGAAACTGAGGCACAGCTGTCACTTGTCCAAAAATACAGGCTTGTTCAGTACATAGTCAGACAGGGTCCAGAAGACCCATTTCCCTTTGCTGGATGAATAGCATTACACCTCCTGACATTGCTGAGGGCAAAGCACGCATGCGATCTTCATCCATCTTCAGAAACAATAGTTTTAGTGACTAAATAATCCCTTAAGCCCTCCATCTTTTTGAAGAGATCTGCTCTTTCTAAGTAGCATTGACTAAATGAATAGGATAAATGAATTGGATAGGACCCTGTTAAAATTCAGTATCAGCAGCTCTGGCCTGAACAGGTTAACATCTGCCCCAAATCCTGCCTGCAGTTTTCCTTCCAAACCCAAATTCCAGGCATTTCAAAATGTTCAGGTGGAAATGCAGCAGCCACCAGGTGACTCACTAGAGGTGTAATCATCCCTCTAACCTTCTCCACCAAAACAGAAAGAGGAAAGCCTACCAAAACTTGCTCAAATACAGCAAATCCCATCACTGTCCACTTGGCTGATCCCAGCAGGACATAAAGGGCTGTGCAAAACCTGCTCACACCCATACACTTGAGGGGTACTCACCAATATCATGATGGATACAAGGGAAACTGTGTCTGCTCCAGGTAATCAGGCACCCCAGGGCTGAAGGTAGAGGAGAACTGGTTACCCCACCACTAAAAGATGGGGGTTGACAGGTGTTTTCCAAAAGATCTTTCTTTCAGCAGCTTATTTTGGAGGAAATACCACAGGTTTTTTTTCCTTCTTGCACTAGGTCTCCTTGAGCCTCACCTGGCTTTGCTCACCTCCCTGAAGAGGGATGGCTCTTGTAACCAGGCTGGAAAGTGTTATGAGCACTTGCTCGGGGAATAAGTGAGGTGTGCCTGCAGGGACGATTTTTTCCCTGCTGTAAGGCACTTTGAGGGAGAGGAGGG